AGGAGCACTCCTTGTCACTATCCATCAGTCTACGGGAGCACTCCTTGTCACTATCCATCAGTCTACAGGAGCACTCCTTGTCACTATCTATCAGTCTACAGGAGCACTCCTTGTCACTATCCATCAGTCTACGGGAGCACTCCTTGTCAGGATCCATCAGTCTACAGGAACACTCCTTGTCACTATCCATCAGTGTATGGGAGCACTCCTTGTCACTACCCACCAGTCTATGGGAGCACTCCTTGTCGTTGTCCATTATTCTACAGGAACACTCCTTGTCACCATTCAAACTGATGTTCTTACAGATTGGTGGATGTTTTGTCTAAATGTATGCCTGTGTGGCACATGCCTTGTTGGTCAGATGAGAGCATTGGATCCCCATGGACTGGAATTTGAGATGCCATGTGGGTGCCAAGGACCAAACCTATGTCTTCTGGAAGAGCAGCCAGTGCTTTTAATTGCTTATCCATCTTTCTAGCCTCATGAAGGGTGATATTTATGGGAATATAGGAAATGAGACATTTATTTGCCTTGTGTTTTGGGGTCCTGGGTAATCCTTTATCCTACCTGTCTCTGTAAATTCTTCCAGCTTCATTTCTATTGTACAATTAATTATTATCTGCTTCTGCTAGACTTAGAAGTCAGGAGTAATGTCTAGTCCACTGTTATATACTTTATTATAGCACATTTTGAATTGACTAATTTCTCATGGGGCCAGCTGTGCATCCTGGCCTCTGCCAACACAACCCCCTTACCCCTCAACATGTACCCAATATGACAATCAAAAATACCTCCAGACACTGTCAGATGTTTGTTTTTAACTGCCTTAGATATTTGTGCTCCACGGTGCCCACTAACGTCCCATTTCTACCCGTAGAGCACAGATCTGTGCTGAGTGTTGTCTTGTCTTCTTGAGTGCTGAAGAAGAACCGATGGCCTTGTAACATTAGACAGGGGAGGCAAGGAAGCCTAGAACCCTGGGCCACAGCTCACAGTTGAGTGCTTTGATGGGTGTTGCTCTTGTTTGACCTGATTCATCACTTTCTCAGCACTGTAGGATCTCTGTGTGGTACAGGGGAGAGGGAAGAGTAGACTTTAAAGGCTCTCCTC